GGGGGGGGGGGGGAATCCAGCCCCTCCCCTGTCACGGCAGAGAGCTGTGACAGGATCGAGGGGTGACCGAACGCCGGTATGTGTTCGCTCACCTCCCGATCTACCCAATGAACCGACCTGTGACAGTCTCATTGTCACAGGTCGGCTAGAACTATGAGGTGAGTGAAAAGCACTCACCTCATAGTTCTCCTTTAACCCTATTGAGAATCTTTGGGATGTACTGGAGAAGACTTTACGCAGTTTCCGACTCTCCCATCAATGCAAGATCGTGGTGAAAAATGAATGCAACTCTGGACGGAAATAAATGTTGTGACATTGCTTAAGCTTATCTAAACAATGCCACAGCGGGTGCTTGCCATAATCAAATAATCTCATCAGCAACATTTACACATTTTATATTTTTTCATTATGTTGTTACTTTACAAAGGCGACCCAACGAAATGTTAGAATGTCACTTTTTTTTGGCGAGGCAGTATATTTTACAACAACAGAAACTTCAAGGTAAGTGTAAAAAAACAACAAAAAGTTCAATTTGCAAGTTACTTCAGACCATATAAAGGTATTCCAACCTTTCTCAACAACATATGTAAACATCTGGTGCTCATATGATGTGCATAAACTAAGGAATTGCTTTTATTTTAGGCTGATTCATCAGAAAACTTGAGACACTATGGGTTATCTCACATGTACAGTCATCCAGTACTTGTGTCTAGGACTAGTTCATGCCCACCAAAATCACCTCCTGTTCCTCGATGGAAACTCATAAGACAAAAAGAAGTGACTGTAACAGATGAAGCCAAAGGTAACATTATGGAGATGCACATATGCCTCACATTTTATAAAATAGGCACTCTTACATTAAGGTAAATTTGGGGGAATAGCCAGTTCTACGGTATAAACTGAGTAGGAATTGAACTCATAACTTGACAGAATAAGCTCATAACTTTTTTTATTTCAGTGATGAGCATTTTTAGCACTTCTTGCTTCCCTCCTTAAGTTGTTATGAAAATACCTACTTTATTTTAGTCTCTACTTGCATATCTATACACATACTACACCCCGGGCCTATTAGTAGTGGGTCTATCTTCCCTAGGACACAGAAATGTCTAGTATTATATACTAAATACATATCTAAACCCCCACATTTTTTGATGGCAGCATACTAATCCTTAGCTATATTGTCCGCATTATTTTATTTTTTTCAGTCTTTGTTTTCTTTATTTTCACCTGTTACTCCTGTCTCCTGTGAATAACACGCTTCCTAGCCTTATTGCTTTCACTTGTTTTCTCCACTGTATCTAAGCATGCAGCCATGGTTGCCACACAAGCTGGACTTACAAAAATTGCTGCCTTTGTTCATCTCTATTAAATCATGGATTAATGGGAGAAGTGATTTGCACAATAAAGATAAGGTTCTTTGTGCTTCCTTTTAAGCTTACAGGAAGTGACAAGATTACTATATTTCTGATAAAAACAACAGGTGTTTACTGTACCTGCTGAAAATATTCTTAGCAAAATGAAAACTAAGGTGGCTATCACATCTAAGGACTGGTAGGGCTTTATGACCCTGTCATTGCACATTGTTAAACGTTGGACTGCACAGATTATCCAGTAATAAGGATGCATTCAAAACACGCAAAGGCTGATTTACTTAAGGCAAAAAGGCTGTTATTGTCCCCTTAGTTTAGTGAATGTGGTGAAGCACTGCTGACTTCCATCTTCAAATCATAGGCAAAAAAATACTGTGATTGGCTATTCCTAACAAAGCAAATTTTCCCCACATTCAGTAAGCTAGGGGAAAATTCTCTTGCAAAAAGCCTATTTGTTTTTAGTAAATAAATCCCCAAGGTTCCCTTTATGGATTCAATTTGCCTCAGATATTGTTACCAACAAACATTTGATGCTTTTAGTCTAAATAGAAAATCTATGTAGAAGCTAAAATGTGTATATATAGATAGATAGATAGATCTATCTATCTATCTATCTATCTATCTATCTATCTATCTATCTATCTATCTATCTATCTATCTATATATACAGCTATCTATATATATATCTATATATCTCTATATATATCTATATATATAGAGATATATAGATATATATATAGATATATATCTATATATAAATAAATAAAATATTGCTGTTGTTTTCAGAAACAAAGTTAGTTAAATTTTTTAGAAGACTGGTTATTCATTTAGATTAAATTATTATCTGACAGAATGAACAGTACATTTACTTTTCCTGGTAAATGTTACCATTAATATATTTCTCCATAGTGACTCAAAGGACATGTCATTGATCATAACAAAACACGACAAAGAGCCCAATTTTCATCTGCACAGCATCCATTTGTCATGTTCCATTTGTTGCATCAGGAAAATGTATATGTTCCTTCTACAGAGTCAGAAAATTTTAGACCCAGCAAACAAAACAGCCTTTGCAAGAAGCAACCAAATTTGTATTCCACAACAGATCCCAATTTTTATATCAAGGTTGTTTTTTGTAATTTACTAGATAAATGAGCAGTATCTTGACAAAAAATAGCTTTCTACATTTTGCTATTTCTAGGTGAAGTATTCTGTGCTATATTTCAAACACTGTGTGACATTTTACTTGTTAGTACTTGGCTAAGTAGACGCAGGTTAAAGAACTGTGCAATATAAAATGTAGGTGAACGGAAGATGGACAGTAAAAAGACTGAAACAAACTAAAAGTGTTGACAGTACATAGCAGACCTAACCCTAACCCCCCCCAAGCCATCTACACTTGTCTTAACCCCCTCCCTATTGCAACGATATATACAGTTCTCTTACGGAAGCCATGTAACTAGGAGTTTTAGGCCCCATTTTGTAAGAACCATACGTGCAACCCCCCCTTATTCCCTAGTGTTATTGCTGCTACTAAATGGTTTAACAATTGCCCCCATGCCATACAGTGGCCAAGCATAATTTGCATTTTTGAAGACGTACCCACTCATCCGCTTGTCACCAGAGGAGCAACTTGCTGTATTGTTTCTACTCACTGGAATTGGAACGAGGTTTCCCCTGCACTCTACCTCATATCAGTTAGCACATCTTAATGTGTGGCAGCTTGGTGCATTTGGAGTTCTGAAGGAGGTCATTCTCTCCTAACATACTGTATATAAGGGTCATATGTAAATGTACTGTTCATTCTGCCAGACAATTTGTCAAATGTTTTTTTTTAAATTACGTATGTATACTTATGTTTTGAATTACCCATCAGCTTCTACTCTCAAGGATTCCTGTGGTAAATCTCTACACCTGAGGTTCCTTTGTAAGTCTCATCTACCATGTTGGATGCATATGTGTCCAAGGGAGTATTGCCTTCAAATGTCCATACTAGGGCTATCTAGTCTAATTTTATTTTAATTAATTTCACACTATAAATTATGCAGTAGGAAAAATTAGATTCCAGTTGGACAGCGACTTGTGAATGATGGTGGGGCAGTCTTGTTGGGAGAATCCTTGAAAGACAGAAGAAGCTGATTAGGTTTTCCATCTACTATCATCTCTCCATAACTAAAAATTAGATTTGGGTGAACCGATCGCTTAATCTAAATTTGGACACCTTGGAAGTCCCTTCTTGTACATTACTCTCATAACCAACATTTTATATTTTTTCATTATGTTGTTACTTTACATCAGATATGGGTGTTGTTTTACAATAAAATTAAACTATAAATATTTTGAGAGGAATTATTTGTTGTTCTATTTTCAAAAGCAGCGCGAGTAGAGAAAAAACCTGACCAGTTTGTAGAAATCAGCACGCCTTTCCTGAACTTTGGACTAAATCTGCTTAGTGTGCCCTCTGAAGGGTAGGTATAAAAAAATAAAAGTGTTATATGGTGGTGGTCATGTTTCAACTGACTAAAAGCAGTTTCAGTGCACACCAGCTCTACTTTAAGGGCTTGTTCACACCAAATGCGGACCCGATCTGCTTGAGTTTGTCCACATGCAGTGCAGTGTGTTTTGCCGCATCTTTGCTGCGTTTTTGCCGCGTTCCGGGCCGTTTTCTTTTTTTTGTAGCCTAAAATGGGCTTTCAGTGCGTTTTAGGGCATTTGCATGTGTTTTTGATGCGTTCCAGAGCAGAAAAAATAGGGCATGCTGCAGTTTTTCCACATGTTCTGGAACTGAATGCTCTGGTGTGAACTAGAGCCCAAAATACCATTGGAATACATTGGATGCATTTTTGATGCGTTTTGTAGCTGCTATGCATCTGCTCCGCACTTGGTGTGAACAAGCCCTAATACAAACAACTGTTCTCCAACACTAATACCCTAGGTGAGTGCAGACACACTTCTCATTTGGTTTTAATTATTGACATTGGTACAGCTATATTCATAAAGAGTGAGTTGCATGGCAGCATACAGTTTGTTAATAAAATGTATGGCTTTCTTATTTATGGATATTTCTTTTTTAAAGAGAGAATATATCACTGTGACATATTAAGGAATACATAGAACATCAAAATAAACATTAAAACCAACAATGACTAATATGGAATGATTGTTTTATTGCTTAGAAATGTTACTTGCACTTCCAGAAAAAGCTCCTTTCTGATGTCCTGTCTAGCGTCTGTCAGTGAGATGGAAGAGAATGTCCAGGAAAGCAGTGCAGTGAAGGAAAATATACAACTAAGTTTTGGAGAAGAGACTCAGGTAACAGGAAAATAGTAGAATGTGCATCAGACCAGAAGGTATACTCAAATACTATAGAGAAAAACACACACATGTAAACTCTTGCTGCTTCTCTTCTCACATTTCCAGATGTTGATGTCTCCCATTTAGCCCCATCTAAATTATCTTGCTTTATGTATGTCCGTGGTCGATCATGGTGATCAACCTGTTTAACCTGTTTTTGTCACATACCTGGTTAAGAGCTTAAAGTTATGAGGATAACCTGACTTGCACCTCCCTAGTCCTCTTCTAGAGTTGACAGGTGGCAAAGAGGCATAGAGTGGCATGACGGCCTATAGTGAAACTCTGACCAACTGGAATTAGAAAGCGCTAATGTACTGTAGATGGTGATAGGCCATCTGATTTGATGGGTGCTTGGAATCAACCAACAGACAAGCAGAAAAGTACAAGAGTAGCAGGCAGAGGCGTCCTCAGGAAACAGACTAAGGTCAGCAACAGATGGACAGGGACATTAGGCTGGTGCATTGTTGAAGATGCAGGACAACTTCAGCAATAGGCAGAAGATGAGGTGCAGAATTAGCAGGTAGATGCATTGTTAAAGCTGGCCACACACTGATGTGTGGCATTCAGATGGCAGCAACTAATATAAGGGGGCACTCTGATGGGCACAGCTAATTTAAGGGGGCACTCTGATGAGGACAACTAATAAGTAATTGTTTCCATCAGCGTGCCCCCTTACACTGGTTGTCCATATAGTGTCCCTTTAAAATGCTGCTGATTATTCATGAAGCCCAAGGAGCAGGGAGTCTGTGCTGAGACAGGATGAGAGGCGGGGATGGGAGAAGCAAGGAGGTGGGGATGGGAAGAGCCGGGAGAGGGTGGCAGACTTCAGGCTGCAAGGGTGTAATCTGTTGATAATAGAGCACATCTACTAGTCATACTGGAAATCTCGCTTTGCCGTTTTTTTGCATATGGAAATACTGATGACTTATTGCCAACTCTTGAGTTACTCACAGCCACCCATCAGATTTAAACCTGCCTTGGAAGTTTGAATATGATTGGTGATGCAGGAAGCAGTGAGAGAGAGAGAGAGGAAGTAAGACAGGATGGGTTTCAGTGAGCAGAATTCTGCCTTCTTATTGATCCTGTAGGGCAGTGGTTCTCAACCAACTTGGCAAATGGTAACATTTGCCAAGTTGTGGTGACCCCCAACGGTAAAATTTAGGGTTGACGCGGCTGCTGCAGCGACATCTGGCAGCGTGGCGGGAGAACTGACACTGCTGCGCTAGGTGAGGGCTGGGGAGGACTCTCACCGAGCACAGCAGAAATCATACAGCGACCCACAGGTTGAGAACCACTGTTGTAACAGCTAAAATGGCAAACCATATAACACAAGCCGAGGGTGTCAGCTTTTATTATTAATAATAATGATGATAATCTAATAGCTATCTAATAGTGGGAGACTTCCGGCGACCCCTGGCAAATTGTCATTCCACCCCCGAAGGGGTCCCGACCCACAGGTTGAGAACCACTGCTGTAGGGAGTGTGTTTGCGTATTCTGCAGATAATTTCATAGAACTCTGATTAGAGAAAAGTTGATTTCCTAAAAGTATGCAAAATTGTGCAGAATGGTTTGGATAACTCCTGGCACCCCTGCCTGATGAGATGATGGGGTAAAAAAAAATTGTCTAGGTGAAAACAAAAAAACAAGCAGCAGCACCTAGTAGCCCAGGAAGTATCTTATGTGTTAACATTTCTGGAATAAAATATATCCCCATTGGTTTTTTAAGGGTGGAAGCTATGGCATGCTCAGATATAACAGTAGGAATATGGCTAATAACAGTAGGAATATGGCTAGAAACAGTGTAAGCGTAAGAAGTAACTTAGTCCAAAAATTGTGCCAGGGAAAGTAAGATATTACTTAGAGTTTGGGTCTGTTAGGTGGCAGACGCCTTGGAGTCACAAGATAACAGCAGTAGGCAAAGATGCGCAAAAATTGTACCAGACATAGTGCTGCTGCTAATTATTCTGGAAAAACATGGTGTAAGAGAGCTTTGCTGAATATTACAATCTACCACTTCTTCTGCCTGTACTGGGTGGACTGTTGCATTGCTGCGTACCCCAAGCACAGATGCTCTGTTGCTACTACATACTAAGCCTTGCCTACAACTTCCAGTCCCAAACGCCAAATTTTGGCTTGCACCTGAGGTTGCAGTGGGAGCTTGAATCTGCCTTTTGCCCCTTCTTGCTGCATAACTGACAGGCTTTGCTTCTTCCCTTCTTCCTAACATTTTTGTTATAGGAGTGTGAGGACTTGGAAATCTAACTCTATTCGATGCTGGGAAGGGATTTATCACAGTACGATTATAATAAAATGTTTTTTCCACTGTAGGTATTAAAATTACACCACGTTTTTGTTACAGTAGTGTCCTGCAGATTTGGCGCATAATGCCTCAACTAGCAAGGTTCACACTATTTGCAAGAAAACTGGGCTTTACCCTACACAAAGAATACAAAAGGTTTAGCCAATGGACACCCAATGTCTATGTGGCAATCTCACAAAATGGAAGATGGCAATTGGCAAGCCAATAAACTACATCAGTGCACACTGGCAGTATGTACACTGCTCTTCTGCTAGTAGTCACCAGCAGAGTAGTAGGTGCAGGCAGACAGGACACCTGTGTCTTTAAGAAGCTAGCGCTGTAAAAAACAAAATGCAATTTTAACAGCAGCTTGCACTGCTACTTACTGTAGCTAATGCACCAGATCAGGCATGTTAAACTCAGATGAAACAGTGGGCCAAATTGGAAGAACTGCCATGTGTTTTCTGTGTGCCGCATTGTGTTTACTGAGGGCCACACCTACTTAATTCCAGAAAAAGATTATGGTATTTATGAACTTAAGATTATAGTAAAAATTGCAATTGATCATATTTAATGCCAGAGAAAAGAAAAGGGGCCATGTCCTAAAGTATTAAGCTGCAAAATTATGCAAGAAGATGTAACTTATTAACTAGAGAACTTTTTGAAATTCAACCACCCAAAAAAAATTTGGACATTCAATTCCTGAAATTTAGTCTGAATTTAACACCATCGAAATTGCAGGATCAGCTCTAAGATAAAATAGAATAACTTCACTTCTATGTAATCCCTCTTTAAAAAGTATCTTAACTCCAGGCACCGGTCCACAGAAAGGATATCCTTGAACTGGAGAAAGTCCAGCAGAGGGTGACCAAACTCATAAAGGGGATGGAGGACCAAAGCTATGAGACACGGCTACTAAATTTAAACATGTTTACGTTGGAAGTAAGGAGATTAAGGGGGGACATGATTTTCATGTACAAAATGTTCAATAGTCATAGCAACATTAGCAACAAACTCTTTGAGATTAATTCCGTAACAAAGACTAGAGGACACCACCTAAAACTGGTAGAAAAAAAATTCAAACACAAGGGGCGAAGGGGGTTCTTCTCAGTCCGCGCGGTTAGGGTCTGGAACTCGCTGCCTCAAGCAGTAATTTCAAGCAGTAAGTAAAAAAAACATATTGCAGCTTACCAGTCCTTAGATATAGTAGAGGTGGTTTACTTTTTTTTGGTCTTTTTTCCTTTATTTTAACATGATGATGTTGTCAGTTACACTTCCTGTCCTAGGTTGACAACTCTCACTCACTGTAGTGTATCTATGGAGGCGAAGCGATATCACCCTAGACTGCTATCTTGAGTTGCATAGCAAATACCTCTCCTCTCCTTATTTCCATAACATAGCAGGAATTCGTTGTTTAACCCACATAGGAGAACTGGGTAGGTTGATAACTTTTTTGTTCAGTATACAGGAAGCTTTTAAGGACACCAGATTTCTGGCAAGATTAACAGTACTGTACTAGCAGAAAATGTACTAAGCCTAGTTAAAGAAAGCTAATTGCAGCCACCACATTTAAGGACTGGAAAGCTGGAATATATTTCATCTTTGTTCTTTAGGTTTATATACACATATAAACATGATGAGACATTAAATACTGACTGTACAGAGTTTACAGAAAAGCAGGGATTGTATTGTGTAGATGACAAGGTACAAAAGGATTTGACTTGCAATTTTCTGAAACGTGGAACTATCCCAGAAAACCAGGGGCAGTATGTTACAATGAAATATGTCTAGAATAGATTATTATTACTACATAGTATTTATATAGCGCCAACAGTTTGCGCAGCGCTTTACAATATAAGGAAGACATTACAATCACAATTCAAGACAAGGAGGGCCCTGCCCCTGGGGGCTTACAATCTAAAAGGGGAGGGGGAAGTGATACATGAGGAGGTAGCTGTGTGGGGATGAATTGTTTGAGAACGTGATGGTTCAGTGGTTAGGTTGAGGTGGGATAGGCTTCCCTGAAGAGATGAGTCTTTAGGGAACGCCTAAAGGCAGTCAAGGTGGGAGATAGACGGACAGGTTGGGTTAAAGAGTTCCAGAGGATGGGAGAGACTCTAGAGAAGTCCTGGATTAATCCTGGACTATGCATAGTTTGTTAGATAGGTGTAACAGCAAATGCAAGAAAATAATACATGGGATGTTTTCTGTGTAACCATCCTTGTTACTTTCTGTAGTACCAAGGTATATCTTTCACACTGCACCACAGACATTACAATCTTGAGCTATGACAGTGTTTAACAGACATTCCTTTCTGCATATGATTTCCACGTTTTCCTAAATAGAGGTGATATAATTTGATGTAGACAGCAAACGTGAGTATGTTCTTAGTATGAACCTTAGTCGCTGATGGAATTAGTGATATGACTCATGTGCCGTATCGAATTTGTGACTCATATGTGGTGACACTTTGTTTTGGAAATGACAAGCTGCTCCCGCTGCTTCGTTATTTCACATATTAATTATATATGAGAATTTAATATATCCTAAAATTGTTAATTTCTCTAATATCACTGAAGGCTAATCTTTCAGTAATTGATGATATAATTCAACCCTGAACCCTGAATTCTCATTAAATAAATTAAATTGTTGGATAAATCCAGAATATTCAGTTAATTAAAAAAACAGATTTGTAATATTCTTTGTTTAAATTATTAGCTTCAGGGAGCAGATTTTCTTTTCTTAATAGACATCCTTTATTGTTTTTGCTGGTCACAGATCTCCTATCTCACGCACTTGTAATAAATACCTAGAAGTAAATGTATACACTATTGCCTTAGTATCAGTTGGTCTTTCACGGGTGAGGTAGACAGGAATGAAATGCTTTTCTTTAGTTGAGTAGGGCAGGAAGGAATTCTAGAAAATAGATCCCTAATGTGTAATGCATGTTAAATTTTTTAATGCTATATCAGTGATGTGCGGTACCTCTTGCTCTGGGTGAGGCATTCCCCCGCCTCGCCCCAGCACGTCCCACCCTGCCCCCGCCGGCCAAAGCCCCGCCGGACGAAGCCCCACCCCCAATCCGTCCCCAAGCTAGTGGAAGGGAGGAGACAGGGAGGAGCCTCCCTGTCCCTCACTTGCTCCTCACTCCTGGGGCGCTCCGTCCACTACAGGTTACACAGTGGGGAGGATTTCCCTGCTGTGTAACCTGTTAGATGCCGATCTGAATGGAGAAAAAGTGTTTGGCTCCATAATTCTAGGTGAGGCTCTGCCTCACCTGGCTCCCCTGACCACACATCCCTGTGTTATATATAATATTGGTCATATTATGTTTTTCAAGAGGATTTGATAATAAAGAGTGTTATACGTTTAATGATTGGTGTATGTATTCATTCCCAAGGAGTATATTGTAGTGGGGGGTTTTCTTCTACTGATATATGATACTAGTTGGTTATCATGTTGGTGATGGTAGGAGCCCAGACGCGGGGAACTTGCAAATACGATTGGTACCTCTACTCAAGCAGACTAGTATAACGCACAATCTCCTGCATAGTGGTAACCAGTACAGGGGCAGTCCAAGAACACGGCAACCAAATCACAATCCAGAAACGAAGTTGGTAACGTAGCAGAGGTCGGGGCAGGCTGCAAGATATTGGGTCACAGAACAAGCCAGTGGTCAGTTAACAGGAATCAGAACAGGTATAACGCTAGGCACTCTAAGAACAAGCTCACAATAACCAAGCACAGAATGACTCACCCTTCATGCTTATATACCTGTTGGCGATGAGATTATGTCACTTCCAGGGAAAGACCACTTGCTTGAAGAGGCGCACACTGTCCCTTTAAGAGGAGGTCCAGTGCGTGTGCCTGTCTCCTTCTGCACGGCTTTGGACGAAGAGACGGGCGGAAATACAGAGGCAGCAGCTGCCGGGCTCAGAGCTGCAGGCAGCTGCGTGCCCGGTCTCCGGCTGCACGAGGAGACCACCCGACAGCGCAGGACCCCGCGGTAGGTAGCAGGTAAGTCCTCACATTGGATTCAAATACACCTTGGGAATGTTTTTGGTGATTCTTAAGTTGACTTTTTGATATATTGTTTTTTAAATTAGCTACTTTGGTTTCCCCTATTATGCCTCTAGTGCAACATGTACATGCAAAAGTTTTTTTCTGGTCTTGGGTAGAGTGAGTGTTATATCTCAGAGATACACAGATAATACTAACAGTTTAGCATCTTTCATAAGAATAAGCTCATTGCTGACTGAAGTGGACATGTGAAATTTTTTCTGAAATACAGACTGATAATTTTAGGGTAGTTTCTCACTGCGTGTGGAGTTCTTACCTGCTACCTACCGCGCAGGACCCCGCGGTAGGTAGCAGTTAAGTCCTCACATTGGATTCAAATACACCTTGGGAATGTTTTTGGTGATTCTTAAGTTGACTTTTTGATATATTGTTTTTTAAATTAGCTACTTTGGTTTCCCCTATTATGCCTCTAGTGCAGAGATACACAGATAATACTAACAGTTTAGCATTTTTCATAAGAATAAGCTCATTGCTGACTGAAGCGGACATGTGAATTTTTTTCTAAAATACAGACTAATAATTTTAGGGTAGTTTCTCACTGCGTGTGCAGTTCTTACCAGGCTGCGTGTGCAGTTCTCACCAGGCTGCGTGTGCAGTTCTCACCAGGCTGCGTGTGCAGATCTCACCAGGCTGCGTGTGCAGATCTCACCAGGCTGCGTGTGCAGATCTCACCAGGCTGCGTCCAGATCCCACCAGGCTGCGTCCAGATCCCACCAGGCTGCGTCCAGATGTCACCAGGGCTGCCAATGAGTCTCTCCAGGGCTGCGTATAGATGTCACCAGGGCTACATATTGGGTCTCTCCAGCACTGCATATTGCGTCTCTCCAGCGCTGCTGATAGGTGGTCCCTGGAAGGCTGCCTCAGGACCCCACAAGCGCGGGACCTGAGGCGGCCGATCCGATTTTAAAATTTAAAGGGCCAGTATCAGCCTTCAGTATCGGGGCATTATCACGTGTACAAGTACTCGTGAAAATGCCCTGTATCGGCCCCGATACCGATACTAGTATCGTTATCGGGACATCCCCAATACAAACACATAACATTTCTCTCCCCTGTGTATTCTACAAAACGTAGAGACATTATATAATACATCATTAGTTAGATGCCTAGGTAAAACTTTAGTGCATGCTGAGCTTCAGTAAACTCCATTGGCCAGTTTAGCAGGCTAAGGAATATTGCCTGCAAAGTTTCCTGGCGGTTGACTGAAGTGCCTGAATCCCGGAAATGTCAGTTAAGACCAATGTCCCTCACATGAGTGGGGACTTGAACAGGCACTAGGCTGTTCATGTTCCAAGTTATTCCATCCAACAATCTGTACGTTACTGGCTTAGTTTGAGTGGGATCCGGTACAATGGTGGCTTCCTTACTTTACCCACTGATGATATCTTTCCACTCTGGCTTGCCGTCCACGTGATAATCCTTTTCTTGGTAACCATCTTTCTAAAGCTATGATAACCACTTTGGCAGTAGTGACTTCTGCTCAGGCAAACTCTGGGCTCTCAGGACAGGACGTTTGGTGACACTCCCTAATGGGGCACAGACGACAGTAAAAATCTGGTTCAAATCCTTTCAAAAAAAGCAAAAAAAAAGTTTGGGCTGGAGTTTACCTTTAAGGGCCCATTTCCACTAAATCGATCCATTGTGTAGGTATCCTATCCATTATGGGCTGCCAACGCACTACAAGGGACAAAAAAAAACAAGCATGACCCTTTTTTTTTTTTTTAAATACAGCACACCTTAGCACATGGTACACATGCAGTTCAATGTGTGTTGCACTCTACTACTGTGCGTTAGGGTGCCATTCACAATCAATGGCACCGCAAATAGAGCAGTTGCTTTAGCATGCGTTGCAGCAATGCACAAGTGTAAATTGGCCCTAAGATTGTTAAAACTGACTTGTGATCCCCATGGATTCAACCCTTTCACTTTTATGTAGTTGCAGTTAAGTGTACCCTTTTCCCCCACAGGATTGACCAGCCTTGTTCTACTTTTACCTCTACTTCTACTTTCTTCTCTTGGCCTTCCCTTTCCACTTCCTTATTCATTCTTTCTCTCTTCCCCTGCTCTTCTTGAGTTTTTATTTTTTCTTTCTTCTTCAACTTATTTCCATTTAAGTCAACATTTTTTTTCAAGTGGTGCAGCTTTTGAAATGTTTTTTTTTTCTCATAAGCTCCTGAATGATTTAAGGAAAATAAAGAATGTTTGTCATATTGATATGAAAGATATGCTTCTAACCCTAGGAGTGCTTTTGCTTCTCTCTCGAATATTGTCTGATTTGTATCATTTTATATAGAATTGTGTTGTTACTTGAATCTTCTCTTCTTTAATAAAAAGACATTTATAAAAAAAACAAAAACAATTGACTTGCGATCAAATGTAGCCTTGAAGTTATAGTAATAATAATGCTGGGATTTAAAAAATACATAGCAACAGAATGGCTAAATATTTTGCTCTGGTGGTGCTTACATAAGCAAAGTATTTGGTAAATTTTTGAAGAGGTTGACCAACTAATTTTAATTCTGATCCTCCCTGCCAACAGATATCACATGGCTAGAGGTTTGCTTATGTGCCCTGTATTAGAGGGAGTGAGGAGCAGAATTTTCCCCAAGAACAAGTGTTTTAGCCTTTCTGTCACCCTATCAAGCTCAACAAGACTATAAACATAACTTTGTGCTAAAATTTGAGCACAAGTCTACTTTAAAGAAAGTCCACCCAAAAGTGGTACTCATATTGGAGGTAAAGCCTAATGGGCTAAGTTAGAGCCTGAGTATGTGTTAAGCTGGCCATACGCGGAGCAAATTTCAGTTACTTTTTGATAAATTGCCTAAAATACACTCTATGGGTGGCCCTCTTGGCAGCCACCCACCCACCTGACTTCTTTTGTGCTGAGATTAAATTAAAGGAGCCAGGTGCAAAATGATCAGCCAAACGACTGCAGTCAATCAGCTGCAATACAATAGCCCGACTGGAAAGGGGTTGGGTACCTCCATGCGTGAAGGGGGGAATCTGTTTTTTGTTCAGACTGCAATATGAATGAAACAAAAACAAGAAATACCGGTGGTTATGAGAGATATGACACCATGGCACCATGGCTTGAAGTTTGATAGCATTTTATTTTTATTTTTAAATAACATCTGTGTTGCAAATATACATACAAAAAAAAAAAAAGAGCAACAAGCAGTTGCAACCAGTTTAAAAAACAATGTTTAGACCAAGAGCATAAACCCATTAGACATATTAGACATAACCATTAGAAATCAATACATTATGTATGTCCAATCCCTACGCGTTTCGCGACTTGGCTTCTTCAGGGGATTGTGACCTACCCTAATAGAAGACAATACATTTAATCAAAACATGTCCACAGTTCACTAATGGGTCCATCATAGTTACATACAGTGCACAGAATACACAGAGAAATGTGCCTGGGTATTAATACCCAACGGAGAGAGTCCCAACACCATTTACACCAACATATAACAATTACTCACCACCCAGTTGGAGTGGCTTAATGAAGGTCGAACTCTCTGTGTGGATTGTGGGCGGGGATACAAATCCTCCGGCTGAAAAATTCCGCTCAGTTTTATGTTTTTTCTCTCTATGTCCCAGGGAGACCTCGGGGCCGCAGTAGGAGGGAGGGACTGCACGTCCAAGCAGGAGGATGGGGCTGCCTATACCTGTCTTGTAGTGTCCTTGTGCTCCAGCATCCACAAACCTGTTTTTCGTGTGATTGTATTTCTTTAGTATTTGTGCATATAATAATTTGAAAGACATCCCATCGCTTGTGACCATTTTTCTAAGTCTATATATAGTTAATTATATTCTAAATTAAGATTGCAGAGATGGTTAACTGCTTTTTTCGAGAGGCCCTTTCCATTCTATTTTCATACTCTCATACTCACACTTGTCTTTGCAATATGAATGAAAACATTCTACTAGTGTATGGACATCTTTAGACACTTTAATAGTGATATCTCCTCCCCTAATCCCTGACACTGTTCCTGCCAAACTGGAGTTGTGGGTGTTGCCATTTACCTTTCTATGTTCTAGATCAGGGGTGCCCACAGTTTTTTGTGTTAAGATCTACTTTTTCAAATGACAAGCTCAATAAGATCTACCAAAAAAAAAAAAACTACATTTCCATTT